ATACTCCTAAATTTTTTTTTACTCGTAAAATTGTAAAACTGACTTTCTGTGCAGTTGGTGAAGATGTAGTGATATGTTCCAGTTGTTTTGAAGCTTCAAAGCTGTTCATATTCGCTTCAACTACAGGGCCATTTTAAGTGCACTGGTTTTAAACTACTACAGATCCTTTAATATATTTTTGTATAAATAATTGTTGATTAGGTGGTTTAAAGATTCTTTTAGTTTCTTTTAACATGATAGGAAAGTTTAAATAAAATATATTTTTTCGCTAACTAGTTAATTAATCAAAGTTAACTAGTCAAACATAACTAATAGCATGTCAAAAAATTGTTTGCATTTTTTTCATCTAGATTTATTTCAATGACCATTTTTTCAGTAGACCTAAAAATCAAAAGTACGGCAAAGCTAGGTTCAAAAAAAAGTATGCATACAAACAAAATATATCGCTGCGTACATGAAAGAAACAAAGTTTTAAACGCAACAGAAATTCACAAATTACTTAACTTCAAAATATAGATAACCAACCAAATTAGAATACGTTCACAATGTATCAGTTTCATAGCCATTTACAGGAAAAATTTCAGCTTTTTGGAAACGTTGCCTTGTAATTTCCAGCAAACACTGTCTTTTATCTCGCTTTTTTGACACTTCAAATTTGACCTCATTTTTCAGTCCAAGTCCAGCCCTGTTAGAACGGACTTCACCAATCACCTGGAAAGCGAACGAACAATTTTTGCAATTCATGAATCGAAATACTGCTAATATGAAACTTATAAGAAACCATAAAAATGAACTGTTGCCATAATTTTGTCGGGATACGTTGAATCCTTCAAGAAAAACGAAAAATGAAAATTTACCGGCTCTATAATTCCATCTTCCCTTCGTCCCAAACCGGTGCCTTGTTTCCAGCCCATTCGTTTAAGCATATCAAATCCTCTATTACTTTCATTTAACATTTTTGATGGTGGCGGAATCGCATTTGTTGATGCAGCAATCATTTCTAAAATTTACAGTGAAGTCATTGTCACAACAAATGCTATGAGGCTAAAATAAGTCTTATGATTAAAAACATAATTTTACTGGCGTTTCCATCTGTAATTAATAAGTGAGACTTACCTGGCACTGGTTTTGCCAAACAGTTTGCATAGATTGATTTATCCTTGTCGTCACTGTTACGCAATAAATTTTGTTCCTTTTTTTGATACTTACATCGATAATGTTCTTCTCCATCCTAACAAGAAAATGTCGAACTTAAATCAAAAATTTTATAAGAATTTGAAATGAAACAGAGAAGGCCGAAAGACGCTCATAATATATAACAAAATGACTGGTTAAGTATCAGAATGAAAAGCTATGAAACAAAACTGAGAAATTTAGAAAAGCAAAAATTTAAAGAAAGTAGAAAAGATTCCAAGAAAACTATAAATGGAAGAAAATTGAATCAAACCAAAAAAAACGCACATCAAAAATACCATATTGTTTCTTCATATTTCGTAAATTTCTCCGTCTCAGTGTTTCCTTTGATATTTTTCCAGCTGGTGGATGATCATTAGAACCCAACATTACAACTTGATCGTTTCTCAGCAAACCAGGTTCGCATGAAGCACACGTATTCGTTCCTACAATGAATGAAGACTTCGAGGAAATACAAAAGCAATAAAAAACTTTGAATGAATCTAAATGTTAGTGCTGCCTCGTTTCAGAAGAACTCAAGCAACATTTCGTAACTTTTCTATGAAATGTTCGGGTTTTTTTCCATTTCCACAGCAGGCGAATATCATATGATTTGCCAACTTTTCAGTGATGAGAATATAATTGAATAAGTGCTGAAAGTTTAGAATCACTGACGTAATATTATTACATGTTATGCAAGTGACTGAAGATAATAATATTAGCTAAACTAACGCAGTTCACTAACAGATAAGAAAAGAATTTTCCTGCAGAAAAAATTCTGATGATAAAAGATAAATTTCATACCGTAGTGGATGTGAGCTAAAAATTCTTGTTCTCCAAATTGCCATTCATCGCCATGATCAATAGCTACAATTTCATCCACATCAATCTTCAATTTATTGCAGAAAACTTCCGGCTCTCTTCCCTTGACTGTCACGAAATATCTTTGCTTTGTTTCGTCATAATTGAAAACAGCACTATACTGCAAAAATAGTTTGAGACTATTTTATAAGAGGAATATGAACTGATATTTCATATAAACCATGCAAACCAAAACAGATGACTATGTAAGGCTTCATATTGTTATAAATCAGTTTAGCTCCTATTAAAATTCAGTTTTATTCGTATTCTACAGTTCAATTCATTCCTTCAATTCGTTCACTGCAGTTAATCACCACTAGAAAAAAAATCATGATTATTTATGAAGAAACTTCATCACTTCTAAAGAAAGAGAGTAACGAACTGGCATGGACGGTGTATGTAATTTAAGATGCATTTTTTCGATAACAGCCGTCAACAAATTTATTGAAAACATCCCAAAACCAATAAAAATTAAAATAATTAAAAAAATCACTTCACTCTTTGAAATCTGCTCCGCAGATAACTGAATCTCACAATCGGGAGCAGTTCCAATTTTAGCACCAGTAATTGTAACTATATGTAGCGCACCACTAGTTTTTTCAACAATACGAACACATGGAGCATAATCCATTCTTTCTTCTGCAAAAAATAAAAGTAGATCAGGTAATAAGTAAATAAACAAGAACCAATACACAAAAACGAAAAAAATCAGAACAGAAGAAAATCTGCCATCTGACACTTCGAATTTCCATAATAACGCGTCAATTTAGAATCGAAAGCAAAATGTTACAATCTATACGTTTTAAATTTCTGTGAGACAAATCATCGTAGCAATGCAAAGAATTACAATCCCTTGAATAATATATTATTAGACTGGTAAAACTGAATTACTCTATCAAACGATTATTACACAAACAAAAAGGTTTTTAATATAAAGTGTGAACACAATTTCTGACGAAATAATGGTAAAGGAAATTATGAAAACAACTACTTATTGACTACATGTTCTCCAGTAAAATAAGAGAAAAATATACCTTGTATGTGAGTACTTATTTCATCATCCAATATGTCACAATCAAAGTTGCTGCTATCAAACATTTGTAAAACAATTTTCAATAACGAATTCAAACACTCGAAGACGTCCACTTCATCTTGCGTCATACCCGCAGCGAATGATTCTCCTGAAAATTATCCAGAAAAATCCATCAGAAAAAACAATAAGATGAAATAGGTGCTCTTTCGGAATCTATATTGTCAAAATAAGATCTTATCATAACTCCAACCGGTTAATTATACGTAGAAGGTATGGTGATAAGAATCTCAAAATGAATAGTTATGTCAAGAGATGATTTTTTCGCTATTAACCGCGACGGGTGTTCTACTGTTTGACGGAAATATACCTAACATAGCCACTGCTTTCCGCTCAGCCAGTTTATCTGTCCAAATATGTTCACAAGGAATTCTTGTGTAATATACATAACTATCTGTTTGATTGTCATAATAATAATAACAATTCGTTGACGGATGATAGAATAAGGCAGTGTTCTGAAATTATAATCACATATTTAAAAGCTTAAATTCACAAAAACTAATGTAATTATGAGAACTATGATCATGATTATAATTATAATCATAATAAAGGAAATTATACGGTTAGTGCTATTACAGTCATGGAAATGATTGAAAGTCTAAAGACAAAGAAATTATTGTTCATGGGATTACAATTTGCAATCATGACCACGATGAAGAGAATCGTATAATCATCATGATTAAATGATGGTCACGATAGGAACTGCAATATAAATATTGTGATTTTGGCTATAAATTTAACTATATGGATGATAAACCAATGCAAAATATAACTTTGTGATTTCAATATATTATGTTTGCTCAGTAATATTTCTTGCGTATTTTATGATAAATTAAATTTCTGCGGCAAATAAGCGAATTTCGTGAAACTAAGAAACAGAAAAATGGGTGAGAACGACACTTACTTGATCATAATAATAGCCTGTCACTGGATTATAATAATAGTCTTCTTGAAATTCAAAGCCTTGAAGATACTTGTCACGCAAAAATGCATTGGCAGTTTGCCGCAGTACATCTGCAATCGATATATTATCCTGAAAATGAACAAAGTTACTAAATCATGCACTGAAATAAGCTGAAAATAATTACCAATATAACATTGGGAAGCTTAAAAGGATTCCTAAAATCTACTGCAATATTGTTGACGTGGAAACAACCCAATTCTTAAGTCTATTACTGGATAATAATTCTGAAATCTATTATTACAGCTAGTAATGCTGAAATTTGGCGATCCTTAAATCAATATCAAACAATAATTCTAAAACTTGGCAAACCAGTATTATGATTGTAAATCATGAAATCTGACAAATTTAGCATCAATACATTGCTACAGAGGAATGTAGGACTAAAAAAATTGTAACCTGTTGTGCATCAGCTTCAATGGTAGTTCCGGAAGTATTTGATTGCATTGTCTCATTAACATCTTGAAATATTTCCATTTCTGTCTTATCCATTTTACGAATTCTTCTGAAAAAAAACTTTCAACTATAAAAAGCTGAACTTTTGTTTTTTTAAAGAAGTTAATTAAACTTAAATTTTAATACAAGAAATAAGAGGAACATAAGAAAAACTGTTGATTAAACATGGCCTCTTAATCAGTTTGATTCCAAATGCATAAAAGAATACCTTCTAGAAAAAAAAAAAGAGGTAAGCTTATTAAACTACTAATTAATCAAATGGAAAACTTGAAAAGTTTTGGAACAAAATTTACCAGATGAAAAATTCGAAATCCGTTAGATCCCGCTACTCTCTATCTACATTGAAACAGTTGATTTAAACAATGAGACTATCTTATTATTACAAATGCAATCCCCATAGACCATTGGTCATTTCCTGATAAATTTATTCATTGCAATATAAACATGTGACTGATACATTCTCAGGAATGACCAGAAGCATTTTTTGCAAACGGTTTGTTAGGCCCGATGCGGGGCTCGAACCCGCGACAGCCAGATTAAGAGTCTGGTGCTCTGCCGACTGAGCTAACCGGGCACACGACCAACAAAGATTTTTATTAATCAAGTCTGCTTGTAGAGTGAAAATTATTAATCAATTATCAATCAAGTCTGCTTGTAGAGTGAAAATTTCATTAGACATGCAATTTAATTGTTCAACAATTAAGCAATTAAGTGTTAATTAACGGCACAGGTTAATCTTCCAAGAAATTTAATAGTATTTATGAAAGGACTAATTCTCTAAAAAAAAATGAAATAAATTTATCTGTTGAGTAAAATAATTAATTCATCATACATTTACCGAATAATGAATTTACTATGATAGTGATGTTATTATGACAGTAATGTTTAATTTATTTGGATAATTATTAGCAGCACAAATTAATTGCTTCTTTTTATTTGCTACTTATTTATTTGCTTCTTATTTGAGAAGCAAATAATTTGCTATTTTAGTAATATAAATTATTTACTTCTTTGCAGTAATACTTATCTACTCAGCAATTTTATTCCTCAAATTAATCAGTATAATAATTTATATGCTAATTTCATTGGAAAGTATGAATAATTTAATTCTTCATCTTCCATTATTATTATTAATATCTTTGCAAACATTATTGATTGATGTTTAGATGTGTTTAGCTTGAATTTACTTAAATAGGTGTAACCAATTAGGTAAATCATTTCCAATTTCTCTATCACTGATTAATTAATTCATATATTTTTTGCTAAATTCTATAATAAAAATCGTTTCTTTTATTTAGATAGCAATTTACATAATTACAAAAAAAAGATTTTCAAACCAATAAAATAATAATAAATTGAATTACTGAATAACTGAATTACTAAAAAACCTATAATCAGAATTTAAAAAGTAATGATTAATTAATAATTTTTTGGTTTAATTCCGTAATAAAAATTATTTCTTTTATTTAGATAGCAATTTATATAATTACAAAAAAAAAGATTTTTAAACCAATAAAATAATAATAAATTGAATTACTGAATAACTTAATTACTAAAAAAACCCATAATCAGAATTTAAAAAGCAATAATATAAAAAGTATCAATTCGAAATACTTGTCCTATTTTGATGCGAATCATTTAATTATGAATAATAAAACAAATAAGCTATGCCAAAAAAGAACAACAAATATCAATGATATATATTATTTATACCAAAATACATTTGAACGAATCTTTTATAACTATATGATGAATATATGATAAATACATTTAAACAATTCTTTTATAACTATATAATGAATATATGATAAATACATTCGAACGAATCTTTTATAACTATATGATGAATATATGATAAATACATTTGAACGAATCTTTTATAACTATATTATAAATACATTTAAACAAATCTTTCATAAATATATGATGAATATATTACAAATACATTTAAACAAATCTTTTATAATTATATGATAAATAATATTTGATAGAAAAAAAATTGTTTAATTAAATTTGTTAAAAAAAATTAAAAATTAAAAAATTAAATTAAATTTGATGGAAAAATAAAATAAATTTCTTTACAATTTCTATAATAAATAAGTGAATAAACAAAAATAAATAATCTGAAATAATTAATATAATATGAGAAAATAAATCATTTCTAAGGTAAATTTATAAAAAACAAAAGAAAAAAAAGAATTAGTGTAATAAATAAACTTAAATACTTAATATAAGAATGAGAAAATAAATCATTTCAACGATAATGTAAAGATTAATTTTAATACGTTAAATAAAAATAACGCACTTTGACCTTTGATAAAGTTTGAAAAAGCATTTCAAGAATTTAGCACAATACAATATATAATTAAAATAATTTATAATAAATGAAATAGGAATAAAGCAAAATTTTGTAAGGTAAATTATAATATAATTTTGTAAGGTAAATTATATATAAAATAATGTTAAAATAAAAATTATAATACATAAGGTAAAATATCTTACAAAAATCTTATAATGAGAAAAATAATCAATAAAATCATTCACACCAGATATACCAGAGATACCAAGTATACATAGTAGCTCATGCACAAATATACCAGATATACCAGAGATATCAAATATACATAGTAGTTCATACACAGATATACTAAATATATCAGAGATATCAAATATACATAGTAGTTCATACACAAATATACCAGAGATATCAAATATACGTAGTTGTTCATGCACAGATGTACCAGATATACCAGAGATATCAAATATCAAAATAGTAGTTCATACAAATTACCTGCATGAAATTCTATTTAATACTTTTTGCTAATTAATTTATCAAAAGAAAAAAATGAAGAGAAGGTAAAATAAAACAATACATTAAAATTATAATTTTAAATTAACAAAAAATATTTAAATATTCTCGTTTCATTGATAATCCATCGGTAGATTTTTGCTTTTCATCAAAATTTAATTGTTTCATTTTATCTTCCTTAATTTTTGGAATTTTTGGAATTTTCTCAGCTATTTTTGACATTTTTTCAAATGTGGGAAATTTTGATTCTGAAACAGTCTTCGATTTTGATGATACTGATGAATTGATATTTGCTTTGTTTGTCGTATTTTTATTAGTTGATGGTTTAGTCGTATTTTTGTCAATTTTATCTGGAATATCAACAACTTCCTGAATTGGTATTCGTCTTATCGGTTGTTTGGTGTGTTTTTTAAATGCCTGAATAGTTAGCAAACCGGTTGGAAATAAATAAGCGGCTAATGATCCATCATGAGCATCAATTGGTATATCAAATTTTCGTTTAAAATTACGCTCAACAGAACCATAACGATCATTTCGTTCTTTTTGATGTCCTTCAACCAAAAGTTCACGTCCTTCTTCATCGTAATTTATCAATAATTCTCCGGTAAGAAAATCGGATAGATCAATTTCGATGCTAAATTTCTCATCGTTATCGATTATTTTCTGAAAAGGGAACAGGTAAATTATGTATTATGAAAAATTCCATTCTATTTGTTTAAAATTGAAATTAATTTTGTAAACTCTCTCCAACTTATTTATATTTTTTTAAAGTTAATTTAATCGTTGTATTTAATAATATTAAAAAAGCAAACCAATAATTTCATCTAATTTTTGAAAATAAAAATACAAAGTTTTATAATCATCAGGTTTTCTTCCATTCTCATTAATCGAATCATGCCTTTTATTACATACTGCTTATCCACACTAATGATCCCCTGCTCTTCATTACTTACTACATATTCATATTAATGATCCCCCGCTCTTCATTACTTACTGCATATTCATATTAATCATCCCCCGCTCTTCATTACTTACTGCACAGTCATACTAATGATCCCCCGCTCTTCATTAATTACTGCACAGTCATACTAATGATCCCCCGCTCTTCATTAATTACTGCATATTCATACTAATGATCCCCCGCTCTTCATTACTTACTGCATAGCATATCCACATTAATCATTTTCATTTTTCATTGGATAATATGAGATTGTGCTAATTCAATTAATAATTAATTGAGTAAATGAATAAATCATTAATAAATACAAAAGATTTTAACTGAAGAAGCTGAGGTCGAAAAACAAAATGATCGAATAACAGTAAGAAATGGATGATCAATATAATTATAATAACTCGATATGAAGTGATTATTGTTCGCAATAATTTCGATGATTCTTTGTAATCAAGTAATTAAGTATGAATGGGACAAATAAATAACTAAGAACTCTAATTAGCATACAGTAACATTAATTATACTCTAACTAACATGCAGTAACATTAATTATCTCATTTACAAAATGATTATTCATATGATAGATATGAAATAGTATACCTCATTAATTGAATTTCCGTTACATGCATTTGTTGTTGGTGGTTCTTCGCTCCAAACAATATCATGCATTGGATAATTAAAATATTGCATAGCCTCATTAAAAAAATGAGAGAAAAATCGTCCAGCTGGTGTCATCGAAAAGGGTAAATCGTTATGTGGAGTACCATAACCAGATGTGTTAGCATGTGATGTATTATCAGTATTATGAGAATCTGATGACGATGATGATTTTGGCGTCGGTCGATGAAATCGTGGTGGTGGTCGAGGTGGTGATGATGGTCGTTCATTGGATGATGATTTATGTTGAGTATGATTAATTGTAGCAGTTACGCTTGGTGTTGATGGTAATGTTGGTATTGGTGTTCGTGGTGGTGAAGGTAATGGTGATACTGGTGATAATGATATTGATGATGTTAAATTATCACCAGAATCGGTATTTTTCGAATGCGTAAAAGTTTGCCAAACCATTATTTTCTTTGAAACACTAAAAATCAATTATTAAATTAGACAAATGATATTTAAAATTTTAAATCAAACAATTGCATAAATAATATCAGTAAATATTTGTTGATATGATATAATTTGTAAAGTTGTTAACTAATAAAATTGAATATAAGAAAACGAAATTATAAATTGCTGTAAGAAATTCAAACTTTATAAAATAATTTGTATTAAAGAAAATTATAAATTAAATTGAAATGGATTTAAATGAATTCGAATTAAGAATTTGCAATATGATTTGATATGCTTTGAATTATCGATTAGTGATAATAATATGAGATGCTAAGAAAAAAGTAATTTTCAATATTTATTGATAGATATTCAACTTTTGACTATTATCATTCTAAATATCAAACAACTGTATCCTTTTATATATTTTATACGTATTTAGCAGTTATTCAAATAAAGAATGATCAATTTTTAATTTTTGAATAAATGAAAATATCATTAAAAATGGTTAAGATATGATAAGAATGATAAATTTCCTAGCAAATAATTAAAAAACGAGAGAATGGAATGGAATAATTAAGAAACTCTAAGATTATGAATCCAATGTTTATGAGAGAGAGAGAGAGAGAGAGAGAAGGGAAAAAATAATGGAGCGATAATTATTTTATCATGATAAGAGAATTCAATCGAGCATTAAAATATTTGAGGAAAAATGAAGTAATAATTCGAATTGAATAAAGTTTGATTAGAATGATATATATATATATATAGCAAATTAATGATAATGTAAAAGAATAATTGAGTATAATTACTTCAAGATGTACTATAGATATCATGAAAAATGGATTCTATAAATTCTCTCGAATATAAATCAATAATATATGTTTAATAATAATACACATTCTCTCACAAAGTTTACAGCATTATTCATTATCATGAAAGTTGGCATTGTTCATAATTAACTTATATCGAAGTAAAAGTGAGAAAATTTCAGTATCAGTAGAAATGACAGTATTTTGAAAAGAATTTAAAGAACTGTTTATATACATATTTTTTTTGTCTCGATTAAATCACAGTTAAAATTAAATTTAACTAAATAAAAAAAATTCTGAATTAATTTTTAAAATTTAAAAAATTTCTCAGAAGGTAATTAAAATAATTAAAAGAAATCTTTTAAGATTAAATCAGGAACAAACAAAAAAAAATGACTTACTGTAATAAATGAATAAATAGGTAAGTCAGAGAAAATTAATCTTATGCATATTTTATTTATGCATACTCCACTAATTAAAATCAAATTCACGATTAAAAACAAATTCAATAATTAAAATCAAATTTACTGTTTGAAATCAAATTCATTAATTAAAATTAAATTCACTAAATAAAATCAAATTCGCTAATTAAAATCAAATTCACTAATTGGAATCAAATTCATTAATTAAAATTATAATTAAATTACCATTAGCTTTGCTTATTTTATTAAAAAGATTATTTTGCAATTAAAAAAAAAATAAAATTTTCCCAGTTACAGTATCACATTCTATCAATATTAATAGATTTCTTATTTAAATAAAATTTTATTTTTGAAGTTTAATTTTTTCACCATCATAAATCGATTATTGAATTAAACGAAAATAAAACGTAAGAAATGGAATGGCTCAAAAAATTTTTTCTTCATTCTAAATCAATTTTTGAAATGGACGAAAAATGAAATGAATGATCGCATCATTCCAATGCAAACATTATATCATCAAAAAATGTTCAACAAATGTGTTTTCAAAATTGCACAACACATTTTTCTCTTTTCTTTCTCAACAGAAGAATAATACGAAAAATTAAATTAAGTTCTTTTAAAGATTGGTAGAAATTGATAAGTTAAAATTTTAAAAATATCATGAAATTATTACTACAAATTTCAACAATGTCAATATCTGATCAAATAAGCAATCTTTATGAGTTAAAAATAATATCTGGTAAATTAAACAATTATTATTAGTTTAAAATATGTGTGAAGTAATTTAAGAGACTATATATTTTGAACAGTTATTATAAAAATTAATCGATAATTTTAATAGATATTTTTAAATGGATATTTTATATTTAAATTGAATAATACAATTAAAAAAAAAGTTCAAATAATAGACCGTATTTACTAGAAAATTAATCAATATTTTGAAATGGACTAAATGGATATTTTCACGTATCTCTTTGTTTGCACGTAGTTTTTTCTTATTTTTTCACGTAACATACTTTATTTTTGTTGCACTGAATTAAGTCTAGAAATTTAGGAATGTCATAATTTATACTTAAATTTTCAAAATGCTCAAATAATTTGTGACTTTCAATATTGTTACAAAAAATAATATACTTTATTTAATATTAGGTTAATAATATTAGAAAATAATATTAGGTTTTTTAATGATATTAAAAAACTGAAATATTTTCAAATTTAGAAATTAATTTTGTTTCATTTCTTCCATTTGAGAATTTATATAAATGAACGAAAAGGAAAGTTTATTCACTAATTTACTACGCTTATATTATGTGCAATGAATTAATTAGGCTAAAATTCACCAAGTCTTAGTATTTAAGTTAAAATTTAAGTTAAGTTAATAAGTTATATTAAGTGATAATATAACATAATATAAACTTTAATAACTTTAATATAACTTTAACTTCAATATAACTTTAAGTTAAGTTTAACTTTAACTTTTTTTTTAACCTTAACTTTAATGTAAGTTAAGTTATATTCAAGTTAAAATTCACAAAGTCTTAGTAAATCAAACAAAAGTTAAAAGTTAAAACTCGCAAAGTATTGGTTAAAATTAAATCATAATACGAAGAGGAACAAGTTTTCTTCTAATAAAAATCGGAGAAAAAAAGTGAAGAATAAAAATTTAAAAGTAAATTTAGAATTTTAAGAAGAATTAGAAGAGAAGAGGAAGAAAGTAAGAAGGATGAAAGAAGAGGAAGAATGGATCAAATAAGAATGGATGAATTATTTTTGCGAAAGAATTATTTTGAAGCAAAGATGAATTTTTAAAATAAATGATATCAAAAAAAATTTTTGTGTTTGCTTCACTATTCTTTTGCAAAAGCAATAATCGATGAAACTTAATAATTTCAAAATTTAATAATAATTGATATTTTTTAATTTTAATTACTTATCCTTCTGAAATTAACACCTTGAGAATGAATGCGTTGTTTGGGCAAATGTGAATTCAATTTTATGAATTTTAATTTATGATAAATTTGTAATATCTAAGATATGGATGAATGAAAGATATCCCTATGACTATTACGTATCTTTAAGCTTTCAAATAAGAACGTTTACCAGAAACCCTAGATTCCTCATTTTTGGCATTTATCAGAGATTCTGGATTCCTCATTTTTGAATTTGGTAACCGTAATCGTAAGAAATATAAGAAATTTATGATTGATAATATATATCGTAAGAAACATAAAAAATTAAGGATTGAAAATATATTTTAAGAAATAGATAAATTTAATCATATTTTATCATAACACAAAATAATGTTAAATTCAGCAAACAACAAAATAGCTAAATTATATCTAACATTTATAATTTGAGGTCATCCATTACTGTCGTAAAGCCGAAGTAATCTCAAAATTATCAAAATGCTTAACTGAAAATTTATATTGCAAAAATTATTGTCACAAATATTATCAATTAAATGAATATTGCCTAAAAATTCATGATTGTGACTCATATGACTAATTACCAGTTATGCTATTTAATTTCGTCTGTAATTTTGAAACAGCTAATTTTTCATGTCTGGTGATTCTCTCGTAATGAATCCCGAATATTCTTCCGGATGAACGAGTAAAACAAAAAGTCAGGAAGTGATCACTCATTATTGATAACTTATGATAATTATTCTATAATCTCTCTATCAAATTTCATCATTTATTCGACTTTGCCAGAACAAATCTCTCTTTCAAAATAATCAATTCAAAGAAACAAACAAAAAAGCATCAGTGCTTTTAACAAATAACAATATTCAGATTTTAAATTGAAAATCATCATCATCTTATTAGCGAGAACTTGATATTATTTATCATCATCATCATCATCATCATCATCACCACCATCTATCTTCGTCATTATCATCATCAATCATTATCAACATCTTATCATCAATCTCTATCATCAACATCTTACCATCATCATTATCATCTTATCATATTCATCATCATCATCTTATCATTATCATCATCATCATCATCATCAACATCTTACCATCATCATCATCATCATCATCTTATCATCTTCATCATCATCTATCATCATCATCTTATCATCATCATCATCACTAACGTCATATTTACTACTAAAGTATGAAGTATATTAAGAAAAATGAGAAAAAAAGCTGGAAGAGAAAATTCTTATTCTTAAATCATTTTCCCATAAATTATTGCAAAGAAAAGTAGTGAATTATCAAAATTCGTATTTCAGTAACCATATATATATAATGTACGCTTATAATATCTTCCATGATACAATCAACAAAAAGAAGTAAGAAATCAAATTAATTTAAGTATAGGTAAATGATTATTGAACGAAGTATCTTACTTGATAGATCATTAGATATGTGTCATCCATTATTTTTTTAAACCTTTGAAACGACAGAATGTCATAAAAATTAGTTTTCTTAAAGATCACAAAAGGGCGAGACATTTAGTTTAAAAAATAGAAAAATATTTCGACGGAGTTGCACAAAAGTATTTTGAAATGAAAGATACATAATTTCCTACCAGATAGATACACATGCACACACACAAAGGCAAACATACCACTTCTATATATTAACGAACAGATAAATACGAACATCGAAAAACGTTATCATATTTTTCATAAAATAGTCTGATTCATCGAAAATTTGTACTTTTAAATTTGCCAGTAAGTGTAGAAATACTTATAGTTGCGGCAAAGATATATTTATTTGAAGAAAGAAACAAATATACAAATTAGTTGTAGTAAATATAAGCAAACATTGCTTAGATAGTTAATTTTTTACTTCAGATAAGTTTATCACTTTATCAGTTTTTTTTTTGTTCGAAGATTCAAATTTAATAATCTCTCTCTCATTCTCTCTCTCTCTCTCTCTCTTTCAAAAAAGAAGAAATAATCTCTGATAGGATAGAAAGTGTCTATGGTGGTGGATAATAATAATCGAAAAATTGACAAATAACAAAAACAACTCATTTAGAAATTTTTACATCAATACCAAAGATCAATCCGTATTTCTTTTTCTCTCATATCATCAATTAAAATTTTAGGAAGATTTATCAAATTAAAGTTTTACGAAAGATCTACCAGAAATTATTGATTAGAAGGAATTCGATTACTACAATTTTCAATCTACAGAAAGTAGAATCAATAATTGTTGAATCATTTAAGCAACCAATCTAATCACCCAAATTATTTATTATCAAATTTTATTGATAAGAATGATATAATTGTAAATGTGAAATAACTTTTTCTGGATAATTTAAGTTATTGCACGCAANAGAATCAATAATTGTTGAATCATTTAAGCAACCAATCTAATCACCCAAATTATTTATTATCAAATTTTATTGATAAGAATGATATAATTGTAAATGTGAAATAACTTTTTCTGGATAATTTAAGTTATTGCACGCAATTACTTTTTTTAATATCAAATATTTCAAAATTTATTTTTATTTATCCCTCTGATAAGTCTTTTCGATGGCATGCGTTATAACAAATACAAATAAGAGTATTTGATTATTTTTGCTAAAAAACTTTCATTACAATAAAATAATACATAAGCTTGAATTTTTTCGCAGTGATGAATTACTTCTTGCGCTGCCTACAACAATCCTAAAATATTTCGTATTTTAGGTATTATCATGGATTACTAGTAGTCACTATTCAGTTATGATTCCGAAGAGATGGTTTGTATTTTATCACAAAATATTGTCAGTTAGTTGGCTTAATTTCACCTAAATGGAAATCAATTCAGAGTGACACTGAACTGCATTTAGGCAAAATTTTGCATTGGCTCAAATCCCAACAACGTCTTTTCTGATTACACATTTACGATTGAAAAAGTAATTAAATTGACTTTCACAATTTTTGAAATATTTGATGAAATGTCAGTTGCAAAATTTAATTGTGTATTTTCTAATTTTCTATTTCTTCAGTGAAACCTACTTTTGAAATACTCAAAAAAGGACAATACAAATGAATTTGAATTTTTCCATATATAAATTTGAAGGGAAATTAGGTGAAGGAAAGATGAAGTTCCTACGACGAATAATAACATTATAACCGACGTAGGATACTTCAAATTCTATACATTAAAAGATCTCTATTTTTTAATAAATAGAAATTCGATATAGAGTTTTGTTTGAAATCCTATAATTAAAAGAAATAATTTAGTGAAATAAATGCAACCATTTTGATGATTTTAAGCTGCAATAGTTAGGATAATTTAAATCTAAATTTTAGGTATATTGCATAAAAGATAAGATAAAGCATACTATCATTGAACTGATAATATGACTCAGTAAAATATTCATATAAATATTTTTATGCAACTATTTTAAAGAGAAAGCAACGAGAAAGTAATTATGCTGTATACACCAACGTCGTTTTCTTCATTAAGTTGATATCATATTAAAATCCATTAGGTATCATATTAAGACCTATTGAAAAAAAGAGCTATAAAAAAATAAATTTCAAGAATTGTTTCAATTTAAATCAGAATTATTTATTTATCAGAAACTGTTCCAAATTGTAGAACAAGAAGACTGGTTATCAATAGTGAATCATTCTGCTCCATTAACGAATCATTTTATCTAACATTTAATAACTTGAAATTAATCAACCAATAACTTCTAACATTTTGATTACTTTAATAACAACCATTATTATTACGAAATGCAAATTTGATAGCGTATTTCGTTATATTTAATTTCAAATTAAATTTATTCTGCAATTGTGTGTCATTTTCAAAACTTCGAAAAAATGTATTGAACTTTCTTCATTTCAATCATTCGTTATAATTGTTTCTTTAGTCTTCGGCCTATTAAAGAATGTTTGCACAGTGAGTTATTTCGAAATAATTTTGAATGCAATGAAACATTCGAATTTATGCTTAACGATTTCTTCTAAATGTAAATATTCACAATTGCAATGTCGTAAATTCATGAATTGTTCAGATGGAAATTCTGAGGATTCTGATTGCCAACGATTGATAAACGTTCAGGAAGTGGTTGATCTTTTGTTTCCGGAATGAAGATAAGATAAAGAAGCAAATCGGAAAATGCAAATAGAATTAATGCTACGTAAGGCGCAGGTGTCCAAAATTTAACCTGTAAAATTGAAAATTAGTTCATACATAGGATACAATTAAAATATATTAACACATCATTAACTAACAAGTATGCTTCTCTAATAAACATTACTTACCAAAAAAAATAACTGAGGAGAGAAAACAACACCAATACGACCGATAACTTGCAAGAACGAAAAGCACATACTGCGTAATGGTGTTGGAAATAGTTCATTTCCGGACATACCCGTTACTATATAAATTTGACTCATCATTGCAAATGCCATCAGTGTTGCAATCCGTGAAAGAAATTCCAACTCAGTGCTGAGCTCTAAAATTAAAAGCGATAGATATTCAACAATGATGAAAGTATTCGATTAGAAGGACAAATATTAGGTGGAAGAAGCAAAATATTTCGCATAATTTATTGGGATATTTCGCTTTTTGTCATTTTTTATACAAAGGAAAATTTAATTTTATATATGATTTTTGAAAATGTTCTCAAAGAAATTTTTCTTCATAATAAATTTAAAGTTCACTTAAACAAATAATAACGAAATGAATAATAAATCCAATTAATGTCAATACTAATGGTACTGTATGACCAACTCTTCGTCCAAACCATCGTTGTGTATAATCAGCAAACGCTGAAGCAATATTTACACTATATCTGTAACATATCATGATTAAGTAATATGTACACTATATCTGTAACATATTATCATGACTATAATAACATATTACCATGATTAAGTAATATATACACCATATCAGTACCATATTATCATAACTATAAAAACATATTACTATGATTAAGTAATATTTATACTATATCAATAATATATTATTATGACTATAATAACATCCTGATTAATCAATATTTACACTATATTTGTAGTATAAATAATATTAAAATAACTTGTGATATGCATTCATGATTCATAATCATTATCATTAATACATCATTTGTTTTGATAAAATTTTCAAAAAGTTTTTATCAATTACTACTCTCTGTTATTTGATAATTTATAATTTAAAAGATATCAATGAAATATAAGAGTACTTCCGTTGCGGCTAAACTCTGATAACTCTGATAAATAAAATGTTTGCATAGTTTAGTTACCTTATTAAGCCAAGCATAATATTGTTTGTGTAAATTGAACCAGATAATTTTTCCATACTGAACAGCATACCATAATTTATCAAACTTGCTGATAAACTTTAAAAAAAATTTTTTTCTTTCTAATTAAAATATATTTCTTGTTTTAGAATTACTTTAAGAGAATATTACGGAAAATACAAATCTGAAAGAGATATTTTGAAATTCAAAACAAATATATTTTAACATTTCCAATATTCATTTCCAATACATATATAAAAACATACTACTATGATTGATAAATAATCAATTGGTAAACGAAAATTAACTTACAAACTATAGGACAGAACTAATATATACGTGGTTTGCTGACAGGTATGAAATAAATGATAAATGTAGTAATTTTTTCGACTTGTCTCACTTAAAATCTGAAATGAATTTTAGTATTAGAATATTTACCTCTTTATTGAGAATGGAATTGATAATTCAAAATTATTAAAATTGATAACTCATATTGGAATTGATAAGTGTCATGAAATGTTTATTGATAGTATAGAATAGAAATAATCTATTTTTGACTGTTACTGAAGATGTACTGAAATACTGAAATACTGAAATACTGACTATGTCAAATTTTTGAATTACAACTTGTTGAAAATAGTTTTGGACTATGATGTCTATAGCTATCATTAATTAAAGGTAAGTTCAATGATTATGAATGAAGAAAAGTTTCAATATTTGTCAAGTTTTATATAAAATTACTAAATTTCTTTTATATTTTGAGTTTAATACAATTTTGAATATTTAAAAAATCAAATGAAAGTAAAATAAAATTAATTAACCTGTTTTTCTGCATTGATAACTTCATCGATCATATCATTGGTAATATCATTCCGACCATTCCAACGAGTAATTTGCTTTAAGACGTCTTGCGCTTCTTCGATACGTCCCTTTTGAATCAACCAACGTGGTGACTCATATGATAGACTAAAAATTATTTCCCGTTTGTAAATAACTTAAAGAGTTCAAAAATTAATTTACAGTTATCTAATAATGCAAATTTTAATCCCTTATTAATTGATATATGTCACTTTCATATATAATCTGTCAGGAAATGATTCATTTTAAATCAGAATTACTTATCAGGATTATCACTCATTGATTATTATTTACAAATTGTATCGGTTTGTGCAGCACTAAAATTGATAGCCAATAGATAAGTTATCTCAGATCATTCTTTAACATTTAATAAATTCAAACTGGCCATCTATTAATTTAACATTTTTTCATTTCTTTTCTTATCATCTTTTTCTCCATTAAAAATACCGATTTCTAAACAAACATGCAAAGGAGAATAGCTGGTGATGTTAAAGCACTGATAACAATTGATAATTGACGCCAATTTTGTGTAAAATATGCCATTATAGCTAATAATATTACATTTGGTGAAAATGAAATAAGTGTTGTAATCCAAATGCGATCCTTTTTTGGTATCATTTCTACCACATATACAAACATTGTACTAAAAAATAAAAGTTAAATTTAATTTTGAAATTATAAATTTTTGTCAGATAAGAACATATGCAATTCCATTTCAATAAAAGTTTTATTGACGACTAAATCTGAAATTAGTTCATTTCATAATTTATAATAATTTCATATATATATTAGTTATAAAACAATAGAAAAATCATCACGCTATTTGTCCACCATTAAAAAGTCCTATAATGGTACGATGAATAGTAACTGTAAATAATGTTTTAGCGAACGATGATATAAATCCAAATATAACACATCCCGAAACGCAAAATGATAATGTCTGAAAATAGAATTATGTTTTTAAAGGTTATTAAAACAATACATTGATTTTATCAAATTTGTTAAAACGATTATATTTGAAATGATAACAATAAGCAGTCTAAACTTAAAGATATACATTTTTCAGTTTCTAACTTTAATAATTTGGAAATTTACTAGTTATAAAATATGACGAAAATTGTCGCCAAATTTGAGTAAAATATGCCTTAATGCATAATTAGTCATATGTGATCATTTTAGTACGTATCACACGAAAATAACTAATCATTTGAAAATGTATTTTAAAATTATTTGCAAAATGTATTATTAGTCTTATTGAATAATTATCAAAATGGATGTCTTTTGATTTTATCATATAATTATAAAAGAGAACCATTAAGTTTAATTATTATTAAACTAAATGCTTTATTTCAAAAAGAAGAAATGAAAGGTAAAGGTGGGAAATAAATAGTTTACCAATTTTCTCCCATACAAATCGCTGATCTGTCCAAAAATAAGTGATCCAACAACAGCACCAATCATTTGAACTGATATGCTATGCTTTACATATTCCGAATTATGGCAAATATATTCGAACTACAAATTAATAAATTCTAAATGGTTTGAAATTCATTACAACAATGAAATTTTATTATCATACATTTCAAAAGTAAACTTTGCATTATAACTTCAAAAATTGCCACACCTCAACATTCATTGATTTAAAATCATATTCCAATTCAGGTTTACATGTTTCGTTTTCATTTAATGCATTAATTTGCTTGCAAATGTCAGATGAGGTCATTGTTGGATCGAATTTATACGAACCACAGCTTTTGATCGTTGGTGCTGCACCTAAATTTCAACAATAAATTACAGCAAATTTGTAATGCAAATTGCTAATTACTATTTATATCAAAAACAAAAGAATGGAATTGAAAAAAAAGTTTTCCAAAATTTTTGCATTAATTTGTGATTGCTATGTTTCATTTTCGAAATCATTTCATACTTCTAATTTGAAATATTTCATAGATTAAAAATTTGCAACAAATTTTTTAAAAGATATTATTTACTAATCAATGAAACAATGAAGTCTTTCATATTTAATATTTAATTTAATTCAAAACATATATTAC